AAAAAAAAAAAAAAAAAAAAAAAAAAGGAAAGGAAAGCCGAGTGTCCAGAAGTTTAGCAGTGAAGTAGAAAGAGCTTTTTCAGGAGTCCTAGTTGCAGAAAGCATAGAAGAACATTTGTAATATTCATCTATTTCTTTTTAGCTTGTCATCATTTATGACATCATCAAAAAGAAATTAGTATCAATGCTGCATCCCTCTTAGAAGGGACCAAGGAAATATCTAGATTCTGTCCTTTTGTTCTAGTGGAATGAAACGTTACTATGTATTTTGGACAATCACCAACTTACACAGACTGGAAACTTCTCTAACAGATAGGTACAATGGCTTTGTGGATCTTCTGTGGTAAAATGAAAACAGTGGTTTGCTTCACCTTATCACCCAGTTAGGATCTTTCTGTGTGGCCTAACCGGTTGATTAAGTGCATCGTGTGCTTGGAATATGTAAACACATTGACCATTAGCCTAAGTAAAATGTATGAGAAAAATAAATCTAAAAATAGCTCATTCCAAAGTCCAGTGTCAGATACAGATAGACCATACTGTGTTTTGGATATAACCCTCATCCTGGAAAACTGCATAGCCAATCCAAAGTCCTTTCAACTCTGGTGTAGGGCACAGGGAAGGCTCTTGTTTCCTGAAAACCAGTCTGTATTGTCTTGGGAGTCAAGCCCACTAGGTTCGTATTCTGGCTCAACAACACCTTTCAACTCTATGACCTCGGGCCAATCACAGAACTTCCTGCGACCTATTCATCAGTTAGATGAAGATAAGGCTTGTTGCACTGTTGAGATTATGAATGTGTTGAATGAGTATCCGAGCCCCTTATAGGCTTTTGGAGGACTGTTAAACTTAACTCTTTCTATTATCAACAGAGCAGAAGTTTCATTAACTTGGGAGCCTATCAGTTTAGGACAGAAAGTTCGGGCTGGGACTCTGGAGTCTGAGTACTTGATTACCGCTACATCTAATTTAGGAATTTTAGCGACCCTAAAAAAAAAAAAAAAAAAAAAAAAATCACAGAATCTCTCTTGGCCTTCCGTTCTCCTGTTTCTCCATAGAAGTACGAAGGACCTGGAAATGTGAGGCTGTCTTATTTTGTGTTAAGGCAGAGGAGCAAAGCACAGCCGGCCCCGAGACATCAGCGGCAGAGATCTGTGCACGGGGAGGAACGCTAGCCCCAGGACGCCCTAACTTCCCACCCCGGGAGCGATCCAAACCCGGACGCCGGCGGGGGAGGGGCAGCTCGAGGCCGCGCTGGGGACGGCAGCAGGTGCTTCGGGGTCACCTCAGACTCTCGCCGTCCGAGCCCTGTCCCAGTCTAGGTGAGCCCCGGGGCGTTGAGGGACGCGCGCCTCCCGGCCCGGAGGAGTTAGGTGACGTCACCTCCAGGAGGACTCGCTTTTTCATTAATGAAACCGGCCGGCGCGGGCGCATGCGCGGCAGGCCCCGTCCCTCTCGCTTCCCCCTCCCCTTTCCCAGCCGCGCTCTCAAATCTCTAGCTCGCTCGCTCCCTCTCCCCGGGCCGTGGAAAGGATCCCACTTCCGGTGGGGTGTCATGGCGGCGTCTGGGACCGTGATGGCTGAGGGGAGACCGTGCTAGTGG